GTAAATAAATCAAAAGTACTAAAAAGTTTTTAACATTTTATTAATTAATTCATTAATTACAACATATCAAAGTCCATGAACACACGCCACCCCACTGGGGACGTTTGATATAGTTGCTATGCTTGGCAGGAGGGTTGGCAATCGCAGTTTGTTTTATTTTAAAGTTTTTATTGATAACACGATGCTCTAGCTTTTTATTATATAGATTCAATAATAAACCGTCTAACAGGTAGATACATACAGTTTTATCTTCTATATATATAGTGAATATTTAAATTGCAGATGTCTGTACATTTTCTTTTGTTATAAAAGTGATTATTTTAAAAGAATCGTTAAGAAAATCATAAAGTGTATCTTCGAATAACATTTAGTCTTTGTTTTATTAACATTCTATCTACAGTTATGATTACTACTCTGAAGTATGGGTACGAAGTATAGGTACGAATCTAATCTTAGAAATTACAGTTAAATGATGTAAAATAATGTTCTATATTGATATACTTATACCTAAAATACATTTAAAAAATGTTTTCTCACAAATATTTAATCCATCTTAGTTAGAAGAAAAGTACAATAGCAGTATCATTGATAGAATAGAATAGAATAATTTTTATTCAATATAGATCACATGTGTAATTCTTATTGAAAGTCATCTTTTACTTTAACACTTGTTCGAAAAAACCCTCTGTCCTGGGAAGAACCAGCAAGAAACCCAACGGGACTTTTATTTTAAATAAATTTTACAATATAAAAGGTTGTACAAACTTTTTACAAAATTTATTTTAGAAATAGCTTGGAAGCAACCACCTCATCCCCAGGGGTTATTATCAACCGTGTATTGAAAATGAAAATGAAAATGAAAAATGATTTATTGATTATTGATTAGAGGGAGCTTGTATATTTTCTGGGACTTCATTTTAATAGCGTATACATTACCCCAAGAATGAATTACTGACTCTGTGGAGTCGAGAAACTGGTATCACTAGCTTGTGGTTGTTCCTAGTGTGAGTTTATAGTGTACTTTTTTACTAAAACTGCCTTTGTTTTTGTGAACATACATTAAATTTTCGTAAATATACTGAGAGGCCAAAGTTGATATATTTATTCCTTTAAATTTTTCTCTAAAAGCCTTCTGTAAAACAAAAATAGTTTTCAAATCAGCCGCATTTCCCCATAGCATAATACCATAAGACATTATGCTATGGAAATAACTAATCTAGCTGTTTCGACATTAGTGAGACCTCTAATCTTTTTTACAGCATAGGCTGCAGTACTTAGTCTGCTTGCTAGTTTGGATATATGGGGGCAACAGTGTTCAACAGGGCTCACTTCTACCCCATTCAAAAACACATTTGTTTTCAGATGTTTATCATTCGATGTTGTAAATTTAATACATTTAGTTTTATTTACGTTTAAATGTAGATTATTAAGGTTAAACCAATGCACTAATTTCGATATAGCATTATTCTGTTCATCACATTTTAATGATTGACATTTAAGTTTAAAAATCAAGGAAGTATCATCACCAAGTAATACTATATCATTATTATTCCCTACAAGGGAATGTAAGTCATTAATATATACTAGAAATAGAAATGGGCTGAGAATTGAGCCCTGAGGGATACCCATTAGTACAGGTGACCGGAAAGAACTTTTACCATTGATAATAAGTTTCTGCGTTCTATTACTTAAGTATGAAATAATAAGTTTAAGCGCTTTGTGTGCTTGACACCATAGTACTATAGCTTCTTGACTAATGTCTCATGATGAACACAGTCGAAGGCCTTGGAAGGGTCACAAAATATACCCAAAGCATCCTCTGCATTCTCTCATGCACAAAAAATATGTTTAATAAGCTCAACTTCATGTGACATTTGTTGAGCAACCCCTCGTAAAACCGAAAATTAGATGCAAATAAAATGCAGAAAGACGGGCTGTGTTTTTCTTCCCGTAGCTGTGTCTTGATAATTGCTGCTGATCTTTATCTTACTCATAGGTAGAATAGCTCATACCAATGTAAACTTTATAATGTAGTCATTAAATATATTAACGGGTAACGATGTTGTGATGTGGAGCTAGGATGCAAATCAAATCAAAGATTTAAGTTGTATTTTTTTTTAAATAGCGCAAAAATGAAGTTGTTCCACTTCAATTAAAGAGAAAACGGCCTTTATGCGTCCACATACACAGGCACCTATATATTTCTGAGAGAGCATCTGGCATTAACGACTTTTTCTGCCACCAGGGCGGTGCCACTGTGGAATGAAGAGAAATATTTGACTAATTTTTATAAATTGTCCTGTTCCTGACTATAAGAAAGTGACTGAACTGAACTCCTCTTTTGAATGATACTTTTCTATTGCATACATATGCATATATTACATTGAAATATTTGACTTTCATTATAACCCAAAAAAATTGTAATTTTTATTACTTTCTGAACGTAACTTGTTATACTTTATTAATGTTTATTGTTATTTGCTTTTTAATAGTTAATCTTGAAAGTCGATAAATATCACATTTTTAACACAAGTTTTATAATTTTCTTTTCAAAAATTGCATTACAAGTTTTATGTACCTATGTATATTAGACAGACTTCATAAAATGTCAATTATTGTATAAAACATTGCCAGCCCTAAATTCAATTTTTTGCCGTATATTTATTCGTTTATATTAATTTTTTTGTTTTACGGCAAACGAATTATCGGTCCCTCTTTATCATTGAAGCTTGCAATGCAAGAAACCTTATTTATTTATAAATTATAGTAATTGTTACCCTCTTCCTTAGATTTTTTTTTCATATTTCTTAGTGCATGTCTACTTGACTTTTAATTATAATATTAAACGGATACGTCATCCTCGGTTCTTAAGTAATCCGTAGTGTTGTTTAAAAATATTACAAATACAACAAGGATTCTATACGGACGATGTCGCGGGCACAGCTAGTTCTTAATATATATTTATTTTTTGTTTTTAATTAATCAGAAAATTAAAACTTCGAAATGTTCATTAATACGATATTGAAAGTATTTAATTGTTTGACATTCAAATGTTTTCAGTTTAATACATAGGTCACTCAATAAGTTTTGAGATGCTCGAAATTTAAAAACGAAATGTTATATGTTTCTAAAAAGCAAATTTATTTAAATATAGAACTCCATAAGCCAATTGCTCAATATTAAAAAAAATTATATATTATTACTACTATTAATTTTCCTGCAACGCTTCCCGCGCTTTTCATTTAAAACGATGTATCTTAACCGTGAACATTTGCGCGCTATGATATATAATGATTTTAAATTTGGTTTAACCGAACAATTAAGTTTACAACTCCAATTTTTAGGTGGTTTGCTGAATTCAAAAGGGGTAAAATTAATCTTAACGATGACCAAAGAACCTGGGCCCCGCAAACAGCAGTAACGGCAGAAAATGTATGGACTGCTGAAATGTTGGAGCGAGAAGACCCACGAATCACATATATGGACATTGAAAAGATTGTAGGCATTAGTTCAGGGAGCATTCATACCATCCTACATCAGCATCTTGGAGTGAGGAAGCTTTGTTGTCGATGGATCCCTCGTTTGCTCTCCGAAAGCGAAAAACAGACTCATGGACTCGTGTGAAATGCGTCTACGTTTTGAAAACGGGACATCTAGGCGTGTTTCAGAAATCGTTACGGGTGATGAGACATGGATCTATCAATATGATCGGGAAAATAAAAGGCAATCATCTATGGGTCTACTCAGAAGGACAGTTGCCGACAAAACCGCAAAGACATCGCAACGTCGCCAAAAATTGTGGCTAGTTTCTTTTCGCGTAGCGGACATCAATGCTGGAAAATTGTAAGTCAGTCAACTCCGAATGGTACACTACAGTTGCATTACCCAAATCTTTTCAAGCTGTATGGGAGAGAAGATCAAAGACTGGGTCTCGGAGAATCATGCTGCATCACGATAACGCCTCTTCACATACTTTCCTTAGAACAAAAGCATTTATTGAGGAATCTGATGTTGAAACTCTAATTCACCCACCATACAGCCCTGACTTAGCTCCTTGTGATTTATTTATGTTCCCAAGAATCAAAGTATAAATAAAAGGCAAGTTTTTTTCAAGCGCCGAAGAAGCCGTGGCTGCCTACGAAGAAGCAATTTCCGACCTGTCAGATCAATACTGGCAAAAGTGTTTCAGAGTTGGTTTAGGCGAATGGAACTTTGTATAGAGCATGATGGAGAATATTTTGAAAAGATGTAAAATACATATTAATAGTATCTAGAATACTTTTTGTATATATTAAAACTTATTGAGTGTTGAGTAGATACTACTAAGTAGCGTTTAATATATTTCCTAACCTATCTGTTCTCAACAAAAACTGAATAGAATAATGTAAGCAATAAATAAACTACCCAAATGTATGATTGCCTCTGGGAGTTTCTCAAGGGTAAAAATTTATCGGACATACCTACATAAAGGTGTCTATGGAATGGACTTCACTCATTTACCTACTGTGTCGATTTAAAAGAATATGAATTATAACGACTTTTATACTATTATATTGTATTCAAGTACATTGTAAGCGACACCTACTTGGTAAAGCGCCAGTAATTTTAAGAATTACATGCATTACTACAATGAACTTTTATAATACTTATAAAATTATATACTCAGCCACACATATTAAATTATACCTTTATAGTAACTAAAAAATTAAGTTAAGAAATTGAACATATAATGTATCACATAAGTATTTAAAGGGAATAAAAATGCACACACAGCACAAAAGAAAATACTTTAGTTTTGCGTAAACTGACTATAAACTTAAACTACACTGCAAAAATGTATTGATTATATTTTTGAAAGAAAAATCAAAATGGATCATTGTTTCATACGATATTTGTATACGTCTACTATTAAAGTTTCTATTCCTTCTATTAAATTTATGTCTTAACACTGATTGCTTATTTTTATTTTCACGCACCGAAAAGAATAAACAAGCCCTTACCATTTTACGTAACAGCGCAACTAATAATACTATGAACAAAATTAAACTTTAACTTCACTATTATACATGAATGATACGTGTTGACAACACAACGCGCGCCTGAAACAGCGCGCGAGTAGATCGGTCGTATTCGTTTTCAACGATTTTATATAAAACCTATCCGACGCAAGACACTTCCGCTCTCGAATAACTTTGGAAATCAGATACAGGCTGTCCTAAGAAAAAGTCTCAAACAGGAGCCCAGAGGTGGAGCACCTCATAAATACCAGTAAAAAAAGTAGTAAAAGTAGTTCTACTTTTTCTATAGTTTAGCAGTTATGATGTTTAGTAACATTTTATTGAAATACATTTACTAACCAATTCCAATCGTATTGAAGGGAATAGATGTGATTAACGCCTGTATTTTCTCTAGTGTGTGTAAAAAGTTAAAGCTAGCCTCTTTTTTGATTAAAATCCCGTACTATGGCAACCGTAACGAAACATTCCATAAAAGAAAAAACAATAAAAATAACAAAACTAAAGGTTTTGTACTTTTTTATTGTTGTTAAGGCCAACTAAAAAATAAAATCACGTACCTTTCTTCAAACTTGAGATTTCGGCTCAAAACATGCCAATAAAGTTTGGTGGTGCAGTAAAACAAAAAAAGTAACAAGGAAAAACACATATACACTACCAAAACAAATTAACTTCAATATAATTAAAATACGCTTGCAGTTTATAATTTAGTGCAAAATTTAATAAAAAAATCTTAATAAATACAAAAAATGGCTCTCTTTTTTGAGACATACTGTATAATATGATATGAAAATGTGAGGATGGAGCTAATTTACTGAATTGGTAAAATAAGTAATTAGATATAATTTTTGCATCTAAGCATTTAAATGTCACATCTATACATATATAATAAATCTGTAGAAAAGTCGTGTCTGTAATTCTAATATACTTTTGAAAAAACAAATCCAGGGGACTAAATAAAGTGGGACCAAATTAGAGGTTTTTAGAATTTTTGTCTGTCTGTTTGTGTATTACAGATTCACGCAAAAACTGTTTAAATAATTAGATTTATAAAATTATTTAAAAATCTTAACGCTTAATTTAATCCTTATTTAATTTCAAAAGTGTAATAATTAAAATTTAAAAATAATAGATAACAGTTACATCTATCAAACATATGAAAATTGATATTTTTTGAACTAAAAAACATATGAATTGTCATACCTTTGATACTATATCTGTATGTAAACTGATTAAAACTGATATGCCTGCAATTATTGCAAAATTCATTAAATCATCACGATATTTATCACTGTTTGTTGACCATGTCATGATAGATTAACCAAATCAATGAATAGAGATCGTTTAGCGATATTAAAGAACCAAACACAAAATTGCTATTTCATGACAATATAGGGTCATATCGTCAAATAGTTTTCCATCGCTGGCGGCGCTGATAGCGTGTTTTTTTTTAACAGAAACAGATTTTTAACAGAAATAACATCACTTTATGCCTTTTTTGTATAATAAATAAATGTTCGCGGTTTTGTCGTGGCTCTTAAGACAGTTGCACCCCAACCTTCAATAGCTGATATTAGTAGATAGTATAGTTTTGACTTTCATAGTATTAATGTAATATAGCGTTCTCTACGTTCTGCTAAATAAACTAATGATAAGTAACTGATTAATAATAAAATTTTAGAATGCTAGTGAATACTTATTCGTGCAGCATCATAAATTGTTACACTTAAAAATATCTAGACCGGTGGCCATTATCGGGATGATTTACCACCATTACCACGTTTTGCAAAATGGCTAACAATACTGTTATACACAACACGTGTGTTTTGTGTGCTCAGTATCCAGTATTGTGTACACAAAACTGAGATTAAGAGAGAAGCTCCTTAATTGAATATTTTGGGTGTCTGTCGGGATAGGTTTCATTTTACTAACTTCATATGTTATCACGTTATCTGATGAAAATGATTGAAAATTAAGTGCACTGTGAGATTTTATCTCTATTTGATGGAATAGTTCGACGCACCGTTGGGTTTCTAATTACTAGGTAGATATGGTCAACAATCATACAAAAACTTTGTTTCAGTTTTTATGAATTTTATTTAAACAAATACGAGAGCCGTGTAGCTCGCCGTGAGATTTCATCACGGCAAGGGAGCAAAACGTGTACGAGCCCTTTGAGGACAAATAAATCTATTATGGGAAATTTCACGTGCCGACTTATCACGTATCCGGTGAAGTGGTGTAGAGTAACTTCGTGGGTAAACCTAAATGTTTCAGTATTAAAAAAAGTCGTGGAAATGTGAGAACCGTTAATACGCATTGAAGGATTACGGCATACTTTTTCCTGCCCACAAAACATTATAGGTAATGAGGAGACACGTGCAGTGAGACGTATTTAAACTGCTGCTTTAGATTTTATAACTTAAATGAGAATTATAAATCAGTTTGTCATTTAAGATTTTTAGTATTTTTGAGTTTTCATATTATCAGACAAATCAAGATTTTTGTAACAGTCCTGGTTTCATAGCTCACATGAGATATGTAAATGAACAGACTGTTGCAAAAAAAATAGTTTAAATATCAAAGATAGCAGATTATACTTAAACAAAGGTTTCTTTTATTTAACTTGTCAAAGGCGGTAATCAAACTGATCCAAACGTAAATTTCATAGTACCTACCTACATAAACATTATTATATATTTTTACATATATGTTAATTGTAATTTGGAAGTGTCGATTTACCACGTTCTCGGCGATGAAACAAAACCTGCATATCTTAGAATTTCCCCAGTTCAGGTGATCGCCCGTTGGTACTTTTTTGACCAAAAGCTTTGTGGCTTGTACCCAGTAGTGACATGTATAAAGGATGCTACTTTTTTAGTTTTAATGAGGCAATTATGCTGTAATTATTTCATGCATATTTTTGGAGATGTTACTTTTTGTTTTTACACTACCGAAAATATTAACGTTAGCAAAGATTCGAAAGAATAGAACTCATCATCGTTATTATTACAACCTATCAAAAGGTACCACTGAACTGAACATAGACGTCCCCCATAAATTGTCAAGTAGCTGGATATTTGCAATAGTTGCCACGCTTGGTAGGTGGGTTGGCAACGCAGCTTTTATTATTTTGAACTGTTGTCAGGAATAAAACTACTTTTACGGATTTTATCGCGTTTAATTAACTTATTTTTATTAATTCCCGACGTTTCGTGTGCTTTCGAGCAACCATGGTCACGGGGGACTGAGGTGATTGACGTCCCGATGTGAGAGTTAACCCGGAGTACCTTCAGCTTTTTTAATTATTAATTTTGAAGAATAAACTTACTGTGTCTTGAAATCTTGCAGTGGAATGCTTGGGTTTAGTTTTAATTTTATTAATTACAGGATCCAAAGCAGGCGGTAGTACCCAGCCTCCCTCTCTATTGAAATTAGGATGTTTTTAATTTCAATAGCCTCACTTATCATCCTTGGAAGCAATCGATGTTCTTTCGCGAGAATTTGTGGTTTATCAAATCTAATGTAATGGGGGGGGCCGTCTAGGATATGATCTCAAACTGCAGACTTCCCGGAACGTTGGTATTTCACGTCACATCATATTTTACGCGGGTTTTAATATATCGTTTTCTTAACCCTATAAATAAATAAATAAAACATCCTCAAAAAAGTATAATTAAACGTGATGGTGGGATTCACCGTTTAAATATCGGTTTGTATGGGTCTTTTCGGTGAATCCCACCATCATCCTTCACAGTTAGCTACCGTGGGCAAATCTTTGTTACAGAGAGCACGAGGGATCTGTGACAGCAAACACCTGGCCACCGAGCTTCAGCACGTCAAGCAGTTTCTGCACGACAACAAGCTTCGGGTCCCGCGCTTACGTCCAACTACGTCACAGTGACCGTGTGAAGCCAGCTGCAGTCGAGCGTGTGCCTGTTTGTTTTCCTCTGTGCCTCTTAGGACACTCACGAAACGATATAAGGTGGCGGATTCTCTTTCACCGCCACAACAAGGCGAACGCAGGACAAGCTCACAGTATCTTGAAGTCTTGCAGTAGTATGCTTGGGTTTGGATTTAATTTTATTAATTATGGGATCCCAAGTAGATGGTAGCACCCAGCCATCTTCTCTATTCAAGTTAGGATGTTTTTAACTTCAGTAGCCTCGCGAATCATCCTTGGTAGAAATCGGTGTTCTATTGCGAGGATTTGTTGCCTATCAGATCTGATACTCGTATAATGGTTCGAACGATACTGAACATGTTGACATACTTCAGACATCTCGGAGCGTCGGTGCTTCACATTAGCAATATGTTCTATTACGCAAGTTTTTATGAAACTTTATTCCAAAGATGTGATTTGTACAACCCACTTAAATAGAAGATAAATGTAACGTAATTTATTAAAATTTGTTTTATTACATGTGTAGTATTTACCATTATAGAACTACATTTATGAAATTTTGAAATCTACTCGAACCTAGTAAAAATATCAGAACTATTTTATGGCGGCAATCAAAATTAAATAGGAACAATGATATGAATCAAAAATTGCATATAAGACCATAAAATCATGATTATTTTGTTAAAAATAAATTAAGTTCAATTATTAATTATTTAATTATTAAAGAGTAAATAATAATAGTGAATTCGGAAGATCGGAAGACACGTTCAATATAAAAAATTGTAGATGTTTCTAGACATATGATATTAATGCATTTCAGAAAAACTTATTTATTCACGTGCATATGCCAGTTATCAATCATCTAGGTCCAAAAGTTTTAGGAATTCAAAAAAAATTCTTTGACAAACTGACACACAGAGACACATATACCGAAATGACTCTTAAAGTAATCGAATTTTGCTAAATTTGGTACGGAATAGCATTTAATGTTGTGTCTAAATTGAAAACCACGCGAGCGAAGCCGTGGGTAAAAAAATAGTACATACCTAATATTATCGATCTAAGTATGACCGAAGGAACCTGTAGGGTTGGCATTTCAGAAGTGCCTCTTCAAAGAAAATGTGTTTACAAAGGTTTTGAATTTTACTCGTTTCAAATCGAGCATGCATTATTAGGGAATTCACCACCCTAACACATT